AAGGAAGAGAACGCCTATCAGAAGGTTACAGCAGTTTCTGCAGAAATAAGAGTTTTCTTTACTTTTTATATGCACCAAAAATACACAATGAAACATGTCCAAGAGACAATCCTCTTTAAGCCACCATTGATTTTGAGATCACCTCAAGGAATATTACAGTGCTAGACTTAGCTGGATTCATCATTGCTTGACGAAGCTTCCACTACATACCTGCACACATTATGATTAAGCACAGCTCAAACATGCTTTTAGGGAATGAGCATACTCCCACTAGAAATCAACAATAATATTCCTGGTGACTTTATGGTCAGAGTGGCTGTTGGTTAAATTAATGAGCACTAAATTCAACCTTAAACAAGTAAAAATAAATATCCAAATACAAAGCCCCTGTATTGTTGATAATTCACATAAGTTTAAACATTACATAGTTTTACTGTTATTGATGGAGGAAAATTTCTATTTTCAACCCCAAAAATAGAAGTTGTCAAACTATACTTCATTTACCAAAAATTTTAAAAACGCAGCAAAATAAATGCCTAAAGGGAAAAATGGGTTATTTAATGACATTTTAATGTCAGAATGCACTTCAAAATCAACATGGCAGAAGATTTCATTTTTTTTTAATAATCTTCTCAAACTGTAAACTGCTGCAATGAAATTTTCAAATATAGATTTATAAAAGCTGAAGAAATATGCAGTAACATCTGTTTGCAATGTACTGCTCAGATTGCTACACTTCTAATCAGGTTTGCATCTTGTAGGAGACAATTGTTCTTCACTCAAATGCAAGGCAGGTGGAACATCTTTAATCATATAAGAAGATTCTAATCTTCAAGGAAATTTTCTGTTCTGATGTTCTTTTTCTAGACATCCGATTATAAGAGGATGAATGGCTTGTAACAACTGCAGTAATTACATGCCTTCTGCTGGTTCATCATTTTAGGGGCTGGGGTGGGGGGAGCGGAAGAGTAGGGCATAAGGGCCTTACGCTTTCTTTGAATTGGTAACATACTGCCGCCATCATTTCACAGCAATTTGCCACATGTCAGGCCCCAGGATTACTGGGACATTTCAACTAAATCTGCACTATTTCTTTGACGACAGGCAGAGCAGCAGCTGCTGAATATTGTAATAGATTTATGCTGCTCTTGTTTTCAAGACAAGAACTGGAAATGAAAACAAACATTTGGTTCTTAGAATGTGTTTTTTCCCCTTCAAAACACATCTGTGAATAACTTTACACTTGTTACGTCTCTGATGGTTTTTAGTGGCACCTCTCTGGTATCATGCAACATGAGTGGACTTACATAATGCATGATCCTGATGTACTGAGCTATTTTAATGATAATAGAAAACCTACTTCATTATTTACTATTAAAGGATGATAAGTTATACAGTCTCCAGAGGATCTCTACTCATCCCCAAAAAGGCAAGGACTGAAGATGACCACACAACAAAATGAGTGACAGGAGTATACTTGAGTCATTTCAAGAGCAAAGCAATCAGCGTTGTCCTGGACCATCAACTTGTCACAGATCATGAATTCCCATTGTAGTAGGAAACTGACAGCCAGAGTTTAATAAAGAAAGATTACTGCAATATAAGCTATGCTTTTTTCCCCCGTCAAAGTCTACAATATTAAGTGTGAGGTTTTTTTTTAAAAGATTTTTTCCCCCTAAAGTGAATTACTCCATGAACTCTCAGATATTATTCTTACTGTGAAGTGGACCACTGCTTAGTAGATGATCACTTAGCCATAGATACTGGCATCAGTTAACTGCATCATCTACCAGGCAACTCAAAAGTACCAAAGTAAGTATGTTTTGCATGCAGCTGGAGAACTGTGCAATCATATTTGATATTTATATAGGGAATCAGGTGTTTTATGCAACTTTGCCCCACTGACAACTATTCCATATTTCTTCTGCCTAAATTTAAGAGAATTGTGCCTCACATTTACAAATCAAAATCTATAGTAATGTGTGTTATAGTAAAAATATGATGGTGAGAAACTTACTACAGGAGTTGCCATGGTCTAAAATCATGCCTATAAATTTAAAATCATACATCATCCATTATTCTTGATTACCACAGTTTGAGGACAGGGACACTTATTATAATTTACCTGTTCAAAATTAAATTTTCAGGGAAAGCTGGTAAAAATATCCATTAGTTTCATTAGAGATGCTTTGCAGTAGTAAAGAAATGAAAAGTCTGCTTTTTAAAAATTTTTTTACCAAAAGCTAGAAAATACAACTTGATTCAGAGAATAATTCCAGCCCTTGGGAGCCTTAAAATATATTTAATTTATTTATTTATTTTAAAAGTCTTCAAGTTCCTGGGAATTGTATGGATCCAGTTTAGTTATTCTTAAAAGGCTGAGACCAAAAGGAGACCAAGGCAGTTAACTATCACATTACCACTGAGTACCATTTCTAGTAGCAGAAATTTATTTATGGGAATTTTTTTTGTTTTTGTTTTTTTAACTAAAACACTCTACTAGAAGTTAACATACAAAGGACCAATTCGTTGGTAAGATTCAGAACTCTTTCATAAGCTGTACCAAACTGTGCCAGCCATCACAAGACAAACTGCTTTGAGATTTGACAAATTGTGGTGTAGATATGCTGTCAAGAATTTAGGGGAAAAATAACTGTCACCTTGTAAAGAAAAGACATTCGTTCAGGCTTCTGTATTTGCTAAATAGCACTGATTCATGTCCAATACCGCAATAAATTGCCCTTGTTGAAGAAATTAATCTAATAAAGCCACTTTTGAAAGCTGAGTTTATAGTACCCACATGAGGTTTAGTGGGGAGGGTCCCCCCCAAGATTAACATAACACTAAAACTATTTACAAAGCTAAATTTTATTTTAAGGGACAAAGCTGAAGCTATGGACACAGAGAGGTTCCGACCCGCACCAAGCAGCAGTGAGAAGGAACTGGAGAGGCGGTCAGTCTGCCCTGCCCTTTATCCCCTCAGTCAGAGGCACATGTGAGCCTGGGAGCATGCGCAGATCAATGGACACTACTTTCAAATTCTCTGGCTCCAGACACATTGTGAGAGTGTGTAACCCGCAGTGGAATACAATAGGGACCATCACGCGAAGAAGAACATTGACATTTGTTGCAGTTTTTTTTCCCCAGTAAAAGACCCCAACATATGCCAGGCCTCCCAGTCTGCTGTGGTGTAAGAATTTTTACAACCAACAGCTGGAGAAGATCTTTTGTAAGTCTCCTCTTACTTTTCAGCCTTAACTGATCCAGGATTGTAAATATTTTTTTTTAAAATGGAGATACCTTTTGTAAGTTTTATAAATGGCAAAAGTCAATAGTGAGGGTATATAGTTTTTCTCTCTAGATCTCAGCAGCTCTTCCATTTCCCGGACTCAAGTTTATCCTAAATATGTAAATGGAAAAAAAGTGTGTGGGGGGGGTTTCATTATATGATTTAGTAAATGCAATTTAATTATCTGACGGTTATAGGCACAGCAGGCTGAGAAGCAGTAGCAGAGCAAAAGCATCAAAAAGTTGTGTCAGAAGTTAAGGGACTATTAAAAGTTTCCAGACCTAAACAGTATCTCAGTGCAGGATACACTCAGCAAGCAAAGGTATCAAGATCAGGAAAGTAAAACAGCTATGTTGATTTGGGTGGCCACCACACAAAGGGAATCATTTCTTTCCTTATTTCACATTAATTCAGCCTTGCCTATATGGCAAAGAGTCTTTGCAGATACTGCATAATGCAAGTCCTAGAGTCTTTAGTTCTATGGAGAACACACAGTCCTTAGGACAAGCTTAACAGACCTGAGAAACGCTATAACTCTTTAGAGCAGGGTGATGGAAGGTGGTAATTTAGTGCTTGCTGAGCAGATATAATGGAAGAAAACTCAGAAAATGTAATAATGTGAGCAGAACCAGTTTAAGGTAGTCTGACAAGGAAAAAGTTGATTGAGAATGAGAACAGAACAGCCTAGCTCTTAATGAGTACCACAGAGAACAGAATGCCAAATATTATTCTGTTCACACCTGGTTATGCATGGTCAGAAAGGGCCTAAGTCACACAAGGAGATTCACAGAAATGCGAAGTGAAAGAAGAAAAGGGAATGTGGCTGCAAAAAAACAGGTAGACAAGATTGAAGACAAAGTGAAATCTGAGCATATTAGAGGAACCATTACTGTGGATTTGGACAGTCAGAAAAATCACATGAAGAGGGCATTTTTAACTCAACATACCCACAACTTTGAGCATCTTTAAGTTGCACCTTATTTTACTCATTGCTAGCTCCACGGTAGTACAAAGTAACAAAAGCTTTTTTTAATGTTATAGAGGAGTGCCCTAGATTCTATTCTACCTCATGCCTTGAAATTGTCAATGAAGTTCTTGTTGCAGAATTTTTAGTAACTGGCAAGTTAGTAAGCGACAGAGCACAACTTGGTTTTTAGATCCCAGAGTTCACAGTACAGTCAGAAAATCTGTCTCTATAAAGAAAAAGTTATACAGAGTCTCAGTGTCATAAGTGTGACTGTAACCAGACAAAGCTAAGCTCTTTATTCCTCTGCTGTTGCACCTGGAGGTTCTAATAAAACAGAGGAACCAACAACAAAAATAAAAGACAAAGGTTGGTGGCTGAAAACAATAGAGGAAAGTAGCAATACTCGTGTGACCTAAATGATTAATTTCCTTAATAGAATTGGATTTTTTTTTTAAACTGACACGGTTGTATTAAATCCAATAGATCATGCATATGCAATTTTTGAAATGTAAAATGTATCAATGCATTTGGGTGCTAGGTTAGATTTAAACTTCAAAACATTCACGATAACATTAGAAAAGTTGTCCTCTATTCAATCTTCAACCACAAGGCTGATGATTCCAATTTGCACTGGTTTGGTCATATAACTGAAAAAGCTTCCTTTGAGAGGGAGGGAGAGAGAGAAAGAGAGAGCGCGAGCGCGAGATTTAAATAAGAGGTAGTGATGTTACATATGTAACTTGCCTGGGTGAGAAATGAAAGGTACAGAACCAAAGGGATCTTCAGAAGGATGGTTCTGTGGAGCAGAATGTGGCTCCACATTCTTATCTGAGGATGCTCTCCTCTCCACGAGCCTGTCTGCAAAAATAAATGAAACAGAACAAAAAATAAAATAAAATAAAAATGGCAGTTCTCATGCCAAATTAATGATACGTTTAATAGATTTGTGTTTGTTTCAGATTCTCTCCTTGTACCCTGACATCTATCCCATTTTCGAAGGCCTTCATCTGCAAGAGTTCATGCTTGTTTTACTTCTCCACTCCCACCCCGAAGTAAATTGTGGCAGCTAATGAAAATGTATTATAATCAAAAAACAATATAGTCAGACTTACTCTGAGCAGTGCTTGTAAGAGAGACTAATTTTCATTCTATTCCATTTAGGTTCTAATATCACAAAAAACACCATGGTATCCAAAGACTTAAGTCAGACGCCTTGTGTTACATTTTTATTTTTTATGTCTAAAATCAGTTTTAAAAAAAACAATTCACCAACTTCCCTAAAGGTAAAGCTTTTCTGCTAGAACCACAACGAAGGACATAAATTAGTAATCCCACCAGCATCCCTTTTAAATTATGGGATTGTACTAATGATTGCAATACCAGTTTCTGAGTTTCATCAAATCCAAACAAGTATAGTTATGTTTTGTATGCTCTTTATTCTCTAGAGTTCTGGTCCGTGCAATGTGTTTTAGAATCGGATACATACAGTATTCAACATTACAAGAATAATGCAACAAAAAATTGGGAATGTAGTCGTCTCATTTATTGCAGCCTAGTGTTCCAAGGGTCATCAGCGATAAGACAAGAAAGTAACCCAAGTAACTGGAATTCTGTCAGCAGATCTGTCTTGGTGCACTATTGCTCAAGCGTCTTGGAACCATTTCAAAGCAATTACCCAACAGTACACAAACTGATAGTCATAGCTGAGCATTCTGTGGGTATAAAAGGCCCATATCCTCAATTGTCCACAGCATCTCTCCATCTGGCTAAACTCCAATTTTTGATTCAAAGGAACAAGGGATGGAGGGCAGGTGAGCAAGGATCTGCAGAAACTATATATTCAGATAAAGAAAGAAAAAGTTACCAGTAACCAGAGTTAACATAATTATCCTTGTGGTATTCCATTGTAGATTAATAAGTAGTTGCAATTCCCAGGTGGATGAGCAATGAGTGTTTAATTGGACAGATATTGGATAAATGATTTGACAGAGTGAGCATATTGTCTAGCTCCAGCATTTTGAGAGTGTATTACTGAGCCAGATACAAACTGAAAGCATTATAAATCTGATGGAGGCAAGATAAAGAGGTGGCCACGGCTCTTCTAAAATGGGTCATAAATCCTTCCGGCAAATTCCCCACACAAGAGTTGCAGAAGGTGGTGGTTCAACTGTGTTGATTACAGGTGTGTCACTTATAGCAGTACCCAGTCTCAAGACTTCATATGGATCTCTGTGTAGGGGAACGAGATGGTGGCAACATCACTGTGTCATACCTGAGTAGGTTCTTGAGTCATATGTGCACTCAACTTGCTCTCAGTTGCACCTGCTCATCTGTGCACCAGGTCCCGCAAGGTCCCAGTGTGTGTGTGCGCGTGCGCATCTATCAGATTGTTGTATTAAAAGCCTATCAATTTCTGCTCTGTCACGGCACATCCTGAATGTCTGAGTCATGGAAGACTTCAAGTAGCTCCTGGTCAGCTTAAATTTCAAAAATGGCATTCTGCAGAGGCCATAATAAAAAGCACTGTCAGATTAAAGCATAGTACAAGACAGATGTGTGGGAGGCTTTAAAAAGCATGGTTTCCTCCCACCATCATACCCATATGCATAAGGCCAGTCTGAGGAATTTGATTAGTTGTCCTTTTGCATATACTCTACTTATACTGCCTAAAATTAACGGTTTAACTCTTACACTTTGCCTCCCTGCCCATGATGCCCATTTCTCCCACAGCCATCTTCACATTTGTTCCTACATGACCCTCATACAGGTAACATCTTCTCTGATCTGGTCTGTATGGACCTTTCTTCAAAGCGCCAATTAAATGAACTGACTATTCACCGAAAGTCTGAGGACCAGCTGGAGATAGCTGATTCGGGGGGTGGCGGGGGGGGAGGGGAAAGAGTATTTTTCTCCACTTTTTGTTTGCTGCTTGTTTTAGGTTGTGAGGTCATCAGGACAAGGACTGCCTCTTACTGCATATCTGGACAGAGCCTACTGCATTGTGGCCACTACTATAATACAAGTTTATGTAAAATGTGCATGTGGGAGGCTTTAGGTATCATCATCCCTAGTCTCCCGCTGTAGGCAAAATGGAGACACCTATTTTTCCACAGAAAAGACCTCAGAATATGGATGGGAAGGAGGCAGATTGATGGGGAGAAGGTTTTCAGACAGCTAGATTCCAAATAAAGAGTTGGGATTCTTAGCTCTCTGGGAACATCAGCTGATTCAGAAGATGAAGCTAATGGGATCCAGGAACGCTTTCACGGACTTGGCACTCCTTGCATTCCACACCCTGAAACTGCCCCTATTGAATTGTTTATGCTAAGGCTGGTTTTCAGTCTGTGTACCATTAGTTATACTGCTGCTAGTAGCAAAAAAATGAGTAAGCCTTCCTTCTCAATTGATCTAACCTTTGGTGTTGATGTCACAGTGACTTGCCTCCCTTTGATTTGTAAATTTACGATTAACAACGAGGAGCCCAAGGAAGGAAGGAAGGGTGAGGAAGAAGATTAAATCTTGCTGTGATTTAAGAGTTTGTCCAGTTTCCTGATTAAGGCCAGGGCAGAAGCAGGCTGACTCCATAGTTTCTTGATGCTCAAAAGGACCCTCGACATATGGAGCAAGCAAGATTACTTTGCATGTGATAGCCTGGAACTGAGGGATAAAAAGCTTGCATGAGCTTTCCTTGAGTGTCAATGATTAAGACAATCAAGCATTGGTTAATTTGCTTAAGACACGGAGTGGATGGTTCCTCAACACAGTTGGAGATCAAATAAATTGAGAGCAGTTGGGCCTTCTATACATTTCTCTAGCATGCTTGCAACCTTAGGTCCATATGCACACTTGTTTGAAGTGATTTGGGGTCTCAAAAATATGATTCAGAATGGATCTGAAGAGGAATTCTATTTAGGAGAACGGACAGTTTTCAGTCCCAAACCCATAGGTTCCAGTTTAAGAGTACTGGAGCTTAGAAAGCAATAACTCAGCAATAGTAAAAAATTCCAATTTGGGAAAGCATGTTTTATTTATTTATTTACACTAGGAACAAAATCTTCAGCAAAGACTTCAGTAGCCAAGATAACAGAAAATCATAGTGAGCCGAGATGACCGTTTACTATTGTTACCCATATTCCAATGAGTGTTTTACTTTGGCTCCAAAGTGTAAGTACTACAACTGAGTGTTTAGTCAGTAAAGAAACCATTTAGTCATAAATGCAATTCTATAATTTTCAGAAACCCATTACAATCACCCATGTTTGGCCTTTGCAGCTTCATTGAAATCTTTAAAACCACGACCACGGAAAAGGAATCCATGCAGAAAAAAAGCCAATAGCTAATGGAATAGCTAATTTTGAAAAAAAAATAAAAACTTAAAAGAGTTCTCACTCAGCTTCATCTACTGGTTAATTGTCAAGTGACTGCCTCTGTGAAAGTCAGATCTTTTCCACAGCATATATAAAATATCAAGTTTATTCATTTCTCCTGCAGTGAACATGGAGAACAAAAAGTTTAACCATCATAGCATCAAGAACTTTAGTTCTCTGTGCATACTCTACTATGCATGCAGATAATGGTTTAACCAGTTTATAGGAGAGATTGTATAGCAGAATGTGCCCATATTAAGATGAAGATGCTGACAGATACAGATAAATCATATACCCTAAAAACCTGACTTTTGAGACCCAAAAGGGAGAACCTAGGAAACTTGTTTAATAGTGTATAATGTTGAACAAAACTTTAAATATTTTTAATTTATATGTAAATTGTGACATGACATAACAAATTAGGCTTTTAGAAAGAAAAAAACAAGGGTCAACATTTTGTGATCTGCCAGTCCAGTGAAACTGAAAGCAAATGAAAAAGTTTATTTCAAAAGACTATATAATAGCTTATAATGTGTCAATTATTGGGCTAAGTAGTACAGCAATGAAATTTTCTTCTCTGGATTCTCATTCTTCTGTCCTTATTCCCTTAGATCGAAAAAGCAAAAATAAACCTAGAAAATTTACACATTCTGTGATAAACAGTGGCTCTCTTGTAAAAACTGATGTCCTCTCCTGTAGAAAGGAATTTGGTGATTTTATGAAAAGAGCAGTGATATATATTTAAATACATGTGCACAATGTCAAAAACATTTTAGCAAGTATAATCTTGTTAATGTACAATGAAATAACTAAAACCAGAATTATGTAAATTATCTCTATAGAGGTGTATGCCTCTACATTTACCACTTTTGCCATTAACTGTATAGTGGTAAACATTTGTGCTCTGATTTTAGAAGATTACTATAGGTATTACAGAACATACATTTAGAACAAGACTGCTTCTGTCAACACTCAAAATCCATAGGCTAAAATATAATGGAAGTATTTTATTTATTTTGTCTACTATTGCCTTAATATCAGGGATCTCTTTTGTGACAGGACATCAATAACTACAATGAGAAATTCATTAAGGAAATACTCATTGTCAGAGTGAAGACTGTGGAAATTTGTGACCTATAGTAGGGCTTTCCATTGAGGCTTTTAAACTGGACTCAAGCCAAAGGTGAGGAAGAAAAACTATTGCACTTCATGCAGAATACTAAACCAGTCTGCCACCTAGTGTATTATTTGTCAAACCACAGGAAGTTATGTCTCAACATTTTCCTAGGCAGCGCTGTCATGTGGTTAAAAAATACTGAGTCAGGAAAGCTGAGTTTCTAGTCTTGGCTCTAAAAACTCATTGAAGGACCTAGGGCAAATCTCTTAACCCTATCTATAAATGGAGTTATTACCTAGTTCAGAAATGTAATGTAATATTAGTTGATGTTTGAAAAGGTTTTTTTTTTTTAATATTCAATGCTACATAAAAGCGAAGTACTAAATACTGAATAAATGGAACAGTGCTCAGGTACTTAATTTTAGACATGTGAAGTGCTATTGGATTACTGATCATATCATGAGTTTCTTGTACAACAGTAAAGTCACTTTACAGGCTAGGGTAGGGGAAAAGCAAGATACGCCAGCACTCATAGTTTGTTTAGTCAGTTATACTGGCAGGGTATAATACAAACATTGGACAATGGAAGTAACCAGTAACTTCAGGGAGAATCAGCAGAGAACATACAAGAGATTGTAGAGTACAAGACATCATTAGTTTATTTTCTTCATACAATTCTCTTGCACAAGCTCAGTATACTTGAGGAAATAAGGAATAACTCAAACAAATGTTGGCATTCAGATAACATGAAGTCTAATGTCTACTATGCTCTAACTTTTACTACATATTCCCCCCGACTTAACAGTAAAGAGCAAAAGAGGAGAGAAAATTGTGTGGTTTCAAGCACTCCCATTTTTACAAGGACTGCGTTCCAAGAAACATTATATTAAGGCAAGCATTATATATAATGAACGCAATATTAATAGGCGCCACCAACCATGTAAAAATTGTTATAATTCTTATCATTTTTACAATAATTCTTCCTTTTTATGCCATCACTTTACAGTCCCATCTTGCACTAAAGCAATTGTTGGCCATGGCTATACTAGCGAGCTGTACCAATGCAGCTGTGCCGCTGTAAGGTCGCTCGTGCAGCTGCTCTATGCTGCCAGGGAGAGCTCTCCCGTCAACATAATTAAACTACCTCCAACGAGCAGCGGTCGCTATGTCGACGGGAGAAGGTCTCCCGCTGACACAGTGCTGTCCACAACAGCGCTTCTGTCAGTGTACTTATGTCGCTCCACGGTGTGTTTTTTTCACATAAGCTATACCGACAAAAGTGCTAGTGTAGACACAGCTCTAGTCTACAGACTGCACAATAATCTTAGTCAACTATTCTTCTTTGTATTCTCCTTAATCTTGCACTGAGAATACCACCAGTCATCTTACTACATAGCATCATAAGCTCTCCGTCAGGTGTATATAAAGGCATTACATAACTTCCGGGCCTCTGACAACGGTGTTAGAATTTCCTGATGAGATAACCTTATGCAAAGTTCACTAGCATTTACAGGAAGAAATCAACCTCCTAGATCCTTCAAAGAAAGCGGCTTTGCATGAAAATAGCATTACTTTAGGATTTCTATTTTGCTGGAATTCTAGAATATGATCACACTGTATGAAGAAAAAATTAAAATCTTAATCTCTGACAATCTTATTTGCCCTTCTTAAAATCTGTCTAAGTTGTCAATTTTTCTACATCTTTCACCAAACTGAACAGAACTTTGGGTATGCCAAACATAGCCAGCCATTCTCAGTAAGCACATTTGCTGGATGGCAGCTAGTACATTAGGCATGAAGCCACTTAAAATATTTTTCTGGTCAGTATATTTTATTTTCCTTACATCTATCGGAAATGTGGCTCAAGAATACTCAGTGAAGCCAGATGCAGGACATACTCAGGACATTTAGCATAATTATGGTCAGCAATGTGGTTAGTAATTATGAGAATGGGCAGTGCTACGCTGACCTTTCACTTTTAAACAAACATTCTCCTGTTGAGCATTATTTTGATTTCCAAATCGTCTAAGGCTCCTTTTGAAGGAACTATGCTTAAGATTTTCAACACAATTACTGGAAAGACAATAGTTTCAAGTTCCAAATTTTTTTTTTTTTTAAAGAATGGTTATTTTCAACTAGGACAATCTTCATTTCCCAACGTTAACAAGAGCAACTTTTTTGTTCTACTTTGCAATGCTATTTTGACATCTCTTAGAAAAGTGGTACAAATAAACCACATTTGTGCAACACTATGGTAAGTTTTCGGTTCTGCCCTATTTTAGACTGACTTCTTGAAGCTAAATGGTAGAAAAACGATTTCATGTATGTTCTTTAATATTCTTACGTTCACTTTGCTTGTTGGCATTCTATAGTCTCATAGCAAGCTTACAAAAAAACAGTCACTTGGAAAAATTAAGCCACCAGAAATGTGAAAGAAGCTAGCTCAGTTAAAATTATAGTTTCTTTTTCCATTAATTCCCCACTAGCTATTTTGTTGCATTTTTACTCGAGAAATCTGATCCTAGCTGTCAAATGATTATATCTGTAACTTTGAAGTCAATGTCATGTTTTGCTACATGCTACAGGTCTTTTAAAAAACAGATCTAGTCTTCCTTAACAAAATTACATTTGAAAATAGCATCATGATGAATACCAACAAGTTGCCTAAAGAAAGGGATTTCAAGTAAAAACATTGAGATAGCGGACTTAAAGAGGAAAAAAGTTTATTCAACTATTGCCATGTCAGAACAATAAAGCAGCCCTTACATGTAGCCACTCATCAAAGAACATTACAAAACATTAACATAATGTAATAGACCAATTTTTCTTTCAGGCATTTTCAAAGGGCATTTCAGACCAACAGAACCTTCTATTCTGGTGTGCAAGAAAACAGAGCTGCAAATGGAATAATGCAATCAGCTAAATTGTCTCATTTATCTGAACACCATACTACTGATAGTTAGAATTCTTGACAATCAAGGAGATGAGAAATATTTAAGAGTTAAAGATTATATCAATAGCTGCTAATGCTAAACAGTGAATTTCCACTGCACACAACATTTTCCAAATGGAAAGAAAAGTGAAAAGGCCCTCAAATGCTCAGAAAGAATTTTCTGTACAACAGACTGCATGGCCCTTAAAAAGGACAGTCTTTGGCACTGCTGAGTGTACCTACAGAGCCCTTATTTACTGTGAAGCGAAATAAGCCTTCAAGCGTCCCTTACTTGATCTCAGAAGGTCAAATTCTCTGTCCAGTAGCTCCTCCTCTGTTAGCTTGGAGAAATTGTCCTCTCCAAATGGGTTCCAGCCTGACATATCAGGTGGGTTACTGATGTTCTGCTTTGGGTAACTGGAAACGGCCTCTGCATTAGGAACGACTGAGCTGTGAAGTCAATTTGGGGAATCAGATAAAGAAACATTACAGCCTATTGATGTAAAATTAAGCATATCAGAATTTTGTCATTTCAGAGGTCTTTGAATATTTGTTCTTACACACAATGTGACAGCTTCCCAGTGAGATAGTTTAGCAATAATTTAGAGTTTTGTTCCACCTTATTTTATATTGTTGTATGTAATTCACTTCAACTTGTGTTTTACTTTATGGGTTTTTTTCTCCATTCATTCTAAGCATGGCCAAATCGTAAACAGCTTCTAATGTAAATGTGACCTGAAATAGGAAAGGTGGTGTATCTATTTGTTTCTGTATTATATTCAAAAATAGCCAAAATGTTTATTTCTGCTTTTTTAGGAGGGGGTGAGGAAAGGAAAATATTGGGAATGTCAAAATCTGTTTTGCTGTTGGGTTTTTTTGTTGTTGTTTTTTTTTGTTTGTTTGTTTGTTTGTTTTTTGAGAAAATTTATCTGTAGATTGGGAGCTGCTGGTCCTTACTTGAAGGGATGGGGCTATTGACTAAAAGGTTCCCCTCCACCACTTATTTATAGAGATCACTAAGTTAAATAAGTGTTAACAAGAAAAAATAATTTTAAACAAAATAGTCACTCTCTCTTTAATCATGTTTTTCCTTTCTTAGAATCTTAATACCATCGGTTCTTTGGTTTTCATTAAAATAAGGGAAGAAAGGAGAGATGTAACATGTCAACTTCTAATGAATGTGGTTTTTAAAACTTTTCAGACCTTTATATATCTCAGCAGCAAAAAATGAGGCATAAACCCATTTCCTTTGGAGCTCACTTTCAAGGAACAAAAAAGAATGACTAGAATGTGAGTGTCCAAGGGAATGTTTACACTAGAAACACTACAGTGGCACACCTACAGTGCTGCAGCTGCACCACTATAGTTCTGTAGCATAGACAGACACTACCACGATGGAAGAGGTTCTTAAACCTACCTCTCAGAGGCCATAGCTATGTCAACAGTGTCTACACTGGGGCTTACATTGGTTTAACTACGTCACACAGGGCATGAAATTTTTCACAATTAAAGCAGACATAACTTTACAGTGTAGACCAGGCCTAACTAGATATGTAAATATACGTTCATTCTTTCCATTTCTTATTAACTGGAAACATACAAAATTTTGCCCTAGCCTCTTGATTTAAGTCTCCTAACCCCTTCTACATGCCCACCCCTCCAGCTTTTGCAATTTGTATAAAAATCATGATCCTATATCCGATGCAGGCTGAAAAAATTCAATTCAAATTTAAAAATTAAAATGTTAAGAGAAAAAATGGTGATAACCCAATTCCCTTTGGGGGTGGGAATATCACCGGCAAAAGCAGCCAAAACAGTAACAAACTAGTCTTTGGCTTTAGGTGAAGACTTATGACAATGAGACCAACTGACATGGCCTGCCATCAGGACGCAGGCAAAACCCAATTATCCATGGACAGTTACCTAGGAATTATGGGAAGTTCTAAACTCTGACTGAATTCATACTAAAAAGCACGATGTACTTAGGAGCCTTGTCTGAACGTTTGGAGAAGGCGCTATTACTTCCTTACAGTAATGCTGAGTTCAAAATGTTTTGTCCCTATGGGTGCGCCACATAGGATGTGTGCGCGCTCACACGCTCTCAATCAGAGACTGCCAAATAGTGTCTGCGGGCCCGTGCCTACACAGAGCAGAGCCTTATGCTTCAGATGAGGGGATAAAAGGAGGCGCAAGCCCACTGTAACTCAATTCCTTCTCGAAACTCCACAGTAGAGGGGAAGGAGGACAAGAGGTGAAGCACCCATAGGGACAAGCAGTAACAATGAAGTGATGGGTGGTAAGGGAGTAAATCCAAGACAGTTCAAATGATTGCATGACCAAAAGCGGTGTCATCGCAAGAAGCAGGTAAAATGGCACAATGCTGGTCAAAAGTAGGGAAAGATGACTAAGTTGCAGTTCTGCAGATTTCTGTTATAGGAATGTCCTTCAGAAGAGCTATAGATCCAGACTGCACTCTAGTGGAACGACTTGTTACTTGTGTTGGGAGTCATCTGAGCTGCAGCCTCATGTGGGTAATCACAAATACAGAAGCAGACATGTGACCCAATAGCTCTACACAAGGCTTTAAGGTGGTTTGTGGGCTGAACTGCAGTGTTGAGATTGGATAGGATGAAAAATCTTTCCTTGGGTAGATAGGCTCTTGCTATTGTGGAGTCTAAAGTGACCCCTATAAAATCTACTTTTTGAACCAGAAATAGTATAGATTTCCTATGATGGCTCAGAGATTACAATAAGGTTAACGCCTTGCCCACTGATGACTGGACCTCCTCGGGTGACCTGCCTTAGAGCAGCCAGTTGTCCAAGTACAGGAATATCGAGCTGACAGAGAACCTGCTACCGCTGAGAGGATCTTTGTCAACACCCTTTGAGCCATCGAGAGTCTGAAAGGGACAACTCAATATTGGTAGTGATCTGTTCCTATTCTAAAGTGTAGGCAGTGCTTGTGGGATGGGTGGATAGCTACATGAAAGCAGACATCCTGTAAGTCGAGGGCAACAAACCAATCTCCCAGATCTAGGGATGAAATAATAGTAGCAAGTGTCACCATTCTGAAGTGCTGTGCTAGGACATAATTCAAATTCCTGAGTCTCACCCACTCTCTCTTGGGAACTCGAAAGAGATCGGAATACAAGTCTCTTGCGATAAACTGGTGGAACTGGCTCTATTGCTCAGAGGGGGACAAGGGGGATTGGACCTCTTGTCTTACGAGTTCCTCGTGAGCAGGGTCCCTGAGGAGGGACGGGTAAGGGGGAGTGAGGGAGGGGAGTGAAAGTGGATGGAATAACCAACTCTGATGACCTCCAGTATCCATTTGTCTGAGGTAAGCAGTTCCTGGGCAGGTAAGTAGTGGGACAGAGTCTCCAAAAGGGACACGGGGAAGTAATTGCCCAAGACAGGATCCAGTGGAATGGGATACTCGATGCTCTTGACTGAGCTGTCAAAACCACCGCTTAGAAAGAGCAGACTGAGTAGAAGTGTGTGTGGGTGGAGAGGGTCCTCATTTTTGTTGTTTGTATCTGCCCAAGAAGAGTTCCTGAGGCTTAGAGAGGGTGTGCTGATGATACTGGAATGGACTGGATCTTTGAGCAGTTTGAGATCTACTAAATCTTCTTGTTGTAGGAGCCTAAATCCCCAGTGACTGCAAAACTGCCCTGGAATCCTTGAGTACGAAGAAAGAGGAGTCCATATTCTCACTGAAGAGATTGGGTCCTTCTAAAGGGAGACACTCTCCATAGTGTTTTGTACCTCTCTTAGAAGATCTGAGGCCGGGAGCCAGGATGCTCTGCTCATGAACACAGCCGTGGCTATGGCCCTGGAGCTGTGTTGGTGACATTTAGGGTAGTCTGCACAGAGGCTTTTGTGACTAATTAGACTTCCAAGATGGACTGAAATTGATTTCTCTGGTCTTGTGGCAAGTGTCCAGTAAAATGTGTACATTTTGAGTATGTGGTAAAGTCTTATTTTGCCTCAAAGGCCTGATAATTGACAATATGAATTTGAACAGCAGAAGATGAGTAGCTCTTCCTGCCCAGCAAGTCCAGCCATTTGATCCCTTGTCCACTGGAGAAGGTCTACAGTGAGCTTGATGGCGCCTTTCGTTGGCTGCATCCACCACTGGGAATTAGGGCTGGGATAGGTAGTGTTCTATTCCACTTGATGAGATATAATACATCTTATCTGCCCTCTCACAGGTGGGTGGTATTGTGGCAGGTGTTTGCCACAGGGTGCACGCAAGAGACAGAGAAAATAGGCAGGGCAATCTTTCCTTGGGGATTGATATTCCAAATATCCACCAAGGAATGATGCGACTCTTGGACTTCCTCTAGCAGGATTTGGAGAGAGCCCACCAGCCACTGCATGAAGTCCTGGAAGGTCTTGATGTCACCAGCATAGGAAGGTGGTGGTGATATTACCACCTGGTCCAGAAATAAAGAGGATCTGACTGAAGGAGAAGAGATCCCCTGAGGTTCTTGTCCCTCCTATGTATCATCCGGTACCGAAGTAGTGAGGGAATTGTCTGTTGGTACCCATGAACAGTAAGTTACTGGTAGGTACTGATCCTTTATCCCCAAGAAAAAAAAGAGCCTTCTCAATGATAATCGGACTCTCTAGACCTACAATGTCTGGTAGGTACCCCAAAATCCTCTTCATTAAAAGGGACTCAGGAGTGTAGTGGTACAGTACATGGAAGAATTCCTGTACCAAAATTCTGAGTCTGACCAATCCTCTCCTGAGCTACAAATGGAACCTCAAGGTAACATAGCCAGTTCTAAAGGCTGGTGACTTAGGAGAGTCAACTTGTGGCTGTCTGAATGGTACCAGGGAGGGAGCTTTGACAGATCTCAACAGTGAGACTCCGGCTCATCAGAAATTATAAGGGCCTCCAAATCTAGGAGCTGGAGGCCTCTGATAGCCTATAAAGACTTGGGCTGTTACCAGAGGCGAAAATGCCTACTGATTAGATGGAGATTGTTGCGGTACCGAGGAAGCTGCAGGGTCTTCAACCATCTGCGAACTGTGGTAACAGACCAGTGTCGATATATGCATGATAGCCCTGTGTATACAGCAGTGCCATGAAGGACCAGGTGATGCCACTGCAGTAGGTGCTCTGGGGCTAGAGGGCTTGTCTATATGGGGCTTCTTATGTGGTACAAAAACCTCAGTCAGAGATTCAGCCATACCCTCTGAGGGATGCGAAGTCTCCTGAGAGTGGATCATACGGGGTGACCTACCTCTTTTCTTCGTCCGCCTGGCTAGGGAGGTGTGCTTTTTTTCCTTTGAAATCGTCATTTCTGGAGCTGCAGACGAAGCTCCAATGGTGGCCAAAGCAGCCAGCAATGTTGAGGCCAACATAGAGGAGGGGGGAGCAGACCCCTCTGGAACTAGAGTACGTTTCAGTAGGCAGGAGTTTTAGTCTAGTTTCCCTGTCTTTTTGGACCTGTCTTTGAATCCCAGACACACTTTACACTTTGAAGGGATGCAAGAGTCCCCCAAACACCGCAGGCAACTCAAGTGTCTGTCACTGCAGGGAAAAGTCCTGTGGCAGGTCTGGGAGGGCTTAAACCCTTAAAGTATAACAGATTGTGCTCCGGCATAAATGAAAGGTCCAAGGAGAGGAAGGGGAAACACTCCGTTGCTCCCAGGAGCACAAATGTGCTAAACAAAAACAGAAAAGGGGATAATTAAGTAAATAGATAACATAAATAAGGATTTCACAAAATGAAAAAAAATAGGCAGAAACCTGAAGACAGCAGAACACTCCATTCATTTCCTGCAGCTCAGAAGAGGAAGCTGAGGGGCAGAAGGCTCATGCCTCCTTTTATCCTCTCGGTTGATGCATGAGGCACAGCTCTGAGCAGAAGCAGCCCTCTGAACACTACTTTGCTGTCTCCAATCGAGAGTGTAGGCACATCCTAAAGTGGAGCATCCATAGGCACAAACTTAAAGAAGAACTGAAACTTTTATTTATAGGTAGAAGTGAAATATACTGGGACAATGAAAACAAAACAGTCAGTCAAGGCCTTTAAAAAAAAAAAAAAGGATGAGAAAAATCCACTCCTGAAGTCTTTCAAACATGGTTAACTTTCACCAGTATCTACCATTGACACAACTTATAAAAACCCCAAAAATTCAAAGGATTGGCAGCTTTTCGTCAATGTTCTGGTGTTTTGTGGTCTGTATTTTCCTTTTGATTTGATTTTCTGTTTTAAGCTGCAGCGGTTTAGGGGCTGTGAAGTTATGACCGAGTGAACTCTCACATGGGAGAGAAAAAAGGACCCAAGAAGCCGACTCCAATTAACTACTATTTTCAGAGTTTGCTGGAGTGGGAGGAGGCTGGGGTTTATACAAGCCAGACCCAGCTTATTCCAGAGAGGAGGAAGAGCAACATCAGCAGCACCAAGAAGACTAAGCTGAAGGAGTGTCAAGAGGAAAAACTGCCCCGGACGGGGCTGGAGGAGAGTCAGTCACCTTGGGGGAAAAGGTATTGAGGTTGGGGAGGGTGGGGCACTAACTGGGACCTGCATGGCTAAGAAACTGTGAACTTGCCTGACAGGTAACAGAACTACGTAGGACTTTGGTTGTAGATGATAAACTACTAACACGTCTTTAGTAAGGTCTCCTACATTCTCGCTGGTGTCTGTTTTCTACCCCCATCCTGTCGGTGGTGGTCAGTTTCATCTTGACCCATCAGACAATGCCTTGGTGATATTTGGAGCTGTGGGATTTGGGACATATCTGGAGGGCCACCTCACCTTAGTGATCCCCTGCTGAACTCCCTGGGGCTTCTGAGAAGCATCTGGTTCACAGAAGCCTATCAAACCTCAGGCCATGGTTACTTCTGAGTTCTAACAGCATAGCTGTCCTAGATGCAGATTATGCCTCTTTATCTGATATGGTCTCTGGATTCCTGCTACTGGTCAGGAGGAAAATTTTGCCTGTCATCTGAGTGTTGCCTTCAGCTACTGAGTCTCAAGTGTGATCTTACATCTGTGGAGAGAGCTCCCATACGGTGCCAAATTCAGCCTAATTTAACACAACCCCCACCCACATCTGACCATAAAAGCTCTCTCCTTTACCTTTCAATCTACGTCTGTTTGGTTCAGAAAACTGATTTAACAAAATCTCAGCTTTGTAAGTAATCTGAAAATATTTTAGCTGCAGCCTCATTCATATTTCCATCATAACAAATTTAAGAAATGAAGCTGATTTTTTAAATTATCTTTTCTTTCCAATGCATAGTGAATAAAGTAGAAAAGTTTACATTGGGTGCACCTAGAGTTGAGGCCTGAAAACTGAAAGAAACTTAAGACATAGCTTGTGTTGTGGGGTGCACAAGTAACATGCAATAACAAATCACAACATACGCACACCTTGAAGCAGCATGTGAAAAGGTTTTAATCCTGCCTAGAGATAGCAGAATGGTAAATGGCAGCAGGTGTCAAGTTCAATATCTGAGCAACTTCACCCATGACCAACCAAGGCAGGAAGTGAAGTTAGTCCAGAAGCAAGCAGCTTTGAAAGGTGTGTTCTGTCAGTAGCAGAACCTGAACTGATTTGTAAGTCAGAGTAACCAGAGAAGTACCCCACCCCACTCCAATATAAAGAGCATCAAGTTGAATGCAGATTGTAGGACACATTTAAATAAATTTTGGAATAGTGAAGGAAGCATAAGCTCTTTGAGAAAGGACCAGCCGAGTATTTGTACAGTGCCCATCACAACGGGACTGAGTCAATTAGGGCCTCCGGCACTACTATCTCAACAATATGTGTACTTGCCTATTGGCCGTATAAGGAGAATCCATCACTGCTCCAACATGAGCAGGAAGTGATGCAGAGTAGGAAATTAAGGCTGGTGAGAACTCTTGAGGAGAGGTAAGATACTCAGGAGACGGTGGATGTTGAGGTTGCTGTTGATGTTGCTGTGCAAGGATCCGCTGATGTAAGAGAGCTTGCTGGTATTGTTGCACCTGAGAAAGATACTCACCATTATAAAGTAACCAGAATTCATTTGGCCATAAAAACAGGCCACTTTCATTTTGCTTCTTATAGAGTATTTGGACTTGCAATATGACTCTCTCATCATAGTTTCCATTGTTATTGTAGCTATATTGGTCCCAAGATATGAGACACGAAGTGGGTGAGGTAGTATCTTCTATTGGACCAACTTCTGTTGGTGGAGCGGACAAGATTTCGAACTTCCCAGTGCTCTTCACCTTCTCCACACCTGAGGAAGAGCTCGGTAAAGCTTGAAAGCTTGTCCCCTCCACCAACAGAAGCTGGTCCAATAAAAGATATTACCTCACCCAGCTTGTCTGAAATTAATATATGAGGGGGAAGCCAAAAAACCAGCAGGCTATGGCAAAGCCAAAGTTACGTATTCCTGCTGAAACTGCAGGAAACCACTATTAGAGCACTTATACTACTAATAAAATTGCTGATTTAATAAATCACTCATTGAAACACACGAGTTGGAGGATGAAAAAAAAATCAAACTAAATATATAATGTTTCCATTGCTACTAATTTTTTCTTTTTAAATTACACACATTCAATACACCTCTACCCCGATAGAACACTGTCCTTGGGAGCCAAAAAAAATCTTACTGCGTTATAGGTGAAACCGCGTTCTATCGAATTTGCTTTGATCCGCCGGAGTGCGCAGCCCCACCCCCCGAGTGCTGCTTTACCGTGTTATATCCGAATTAGTGTTCTATCGGGTCGCGTTATATCGGAGTAGAGGTGTATACTGAGGGCACTGTATGGCAGCACAGAGGAGTGCTTACAATGCTGTACTGTATGTGCTGTCAACAAGTTATGTTTTACTATATCCATTAAAGGTTGAAATGCTGAATAATGTTCATTTTAGTAATCTTGGTGTAAATTATCCTTGCAAAAATTATAGTTGCCCACATAACCAGATAAATCTATTTTGATGGGGGAGTAAAATCTGATTATGTTAGAGATAAGAGTGTACTAATTAGATTGGGCTAATTATTTTTCCACGACTACATTGCAAAGCTGGGGTAAACCAACAATATTATATCTATTAATAAAAATAAAAACATTTAAAATTAGTTTAAACCATAAATCTAATGAAATCTGACTACAAAGATGGTTTTAAGTCCAGAGGGATTGCATACCGCAAAATAGGAAATTATTCCATCTTGGTAAGAAAAGACCAAACCACGTACAAAAGCTCTCTCTAAAGCAGAAAAATTCTGAGCTTAAAGTTTCCACCATGATGTACCTACATACTGCAGCACATATACTATGTAAGAACATTTACTCTTTAGTGAAATCATGATACATCAAATAGTAAATAAAGGAAAGGTTTTAACTTAAACATCAAAAAATATCAAAGTTTACTCAAGGCTTTAGGTATTTTTTAAAAACTGCATTCAAGAATATTTCATATAAACAAACTTCAGTCGATGTAACATATACTTGATTTCAAACGCTTTATCATAAGCAAGTGAAAAATTCTCTCTGCTCTGGTGCCCATCCTATATTTTATGGCATACTCAGAAAATTTACTTATGAACAAATATAAAAAGTAAAAACCGGAAAATGAGATGTTGCATAATAGTATGCATTGAGTAGCCAAGTTAACATTACTCTGAGAAAGTTAAGGTTCTAATAGTAATGTTAACTCAGCCACGTTTGTGCATACAACTGTCGCCATTAAAATATTTACTGGCAAAGGCAAGCAAAATTAATGCATGTTATGCTATACTTCAGTATCTACTTGCAAAAGCAATTTATAAATATTTTAAATGGTGACTACTGTAGTGCTTTATTTTCTATTTTTGTCTTTAAGGACCAGACTTCCATAATTGTGTTCAAAATGAGTGTTCAGTTAATATGACTGCATGCAACTGCAGAAGCTACTTGTACTGTTAGCCAATTGTGGGTACAGTTGTGATAAGTACCAGTACAATGGGGCCTGAAAGGGAGCTTCAGCACTTGAATTATTCAGGCCACTTAAGAACCCAATTTTAAGCAACTACTTTTGAAAGGCTTGGCCTGAAAAGTTTATTTCAAATATTGGATTTTATAGTGCTTTCATTTTCTACCAACCTTTAGATGTTGAACATCTGCCTACATTCTTGTATCAACCAAATAGCTCTCAGGCTAGTAAATAACTACACCGCAGTGTTTCATGCAGTGTGCATTAATTGTAACCCAGTATTAAAACAAATTTAGACATTCTTTAAATTGTGCTCATTATAAAATCAGCTAACAGATATGAACAGAGAAACATGTCAACACGTGCTATTTTGTTAGCACTGAAAGCTGTAGCATGTTGGGAAACAAATTAGATGATTCACTGCCCAATATTTAAGATGTCTATTGCAACTCAGTTACCTATTAAGAGTATACATTGCAATTAATCTGTATAGCATATCAACCAATCAAATAAAGAATAATCGCATCTACAGGCAACATACCATGGCAGGATACTGGGATGGGGACGGTTGCTGTTGGTACATAGATTGCATCATAAGTTGTTGTTGGACCATTTGCTGGTGCATTGCTTGTTGATACTACATTTAGAAAGAAAGAGATATTTCTGAAAAAATTAACCAAAACAACTCAATGAGTAATGATTTTAAACAGCTTGTTTAAAAAAAAAAACCCGCATCTATAAGCAGCCTTTTCAATAAAGGAGAGCCACAGTTAAATAAGAGTAAAACGCAGTATCAACAATTGGTGCATTTTAAAACACGTTGTTCTGGTACTACAAGAGATAAAAACTGGGCCAGTAGTTAGTCTATTTTGCAAGTGAACAAACCTGGTTGCTCTTGTAGATTCCCTCTCAGATGGTTATTTATTGTATCACTCACCCTCAAGTGTGTTTTAGGCATCACACAGTACAAGTAAAATGATGTGATCCTCAGGAAACGTAGGCAGCCATACTCAACAGAACACAAGTTTAAGTACGTCTTTTAAGGATACACAGCAGGGGTTCCCAATGCGGTGCCTGCGGGTGCCACGGCGCCCGCCTGGGCGTCTAAGTGTGCCCGTGTACTGGCCGGCAGACGAGCATCCACTGAAATGCCACCAAGAAGCAGCGATTTTAGGCAGCGACACCTCTGGATGACGCTGCTTCTCGGCGGCGATGCCTATTGACGTTGCCGCTTGTCGGCGGCATTTCGGCGGATGCTCATCCACCACCACAGTCCTCTGTGGCTCGTCGTCTGGCGCCTGCCAGATGAAAAAGATTGGGGACCACTGATACACAGTGTCAACAGAAAAGCTGGAGCAATGCAGAATCAGTCACCAAAAGGGAACAGCTTTGCTGACCATGGTCAAAAAAGGGATCATAATGTTTGCTGCTATCCTCCAGGGTCAGAAAAACCTCAACAGCTATGGGAATTTTACACTGACAAGGCAAAACCACAGAATGAGAATCCTACACAGATGGCATCTTTAGAGAACAACCTATTGCTGACAGGCGTTGCCAGTATCATGCTATTTTCCTAGCTTGTTGGAATGCAAGGGTGTCTCACACATCATATCACTTACACCTAGTGCTAAGTCAAAATCCAGCTAGGATCCAAGTTCAAGCAGCCGGAAGAAATAGCAACTGGTTAACACAGAATGTAACTATAAAAAGAGTGTTATGCAACAGAAGCAGGATGAAGGGGAAATAAAACAGCCCACATTGCTCTCTGCCTGAAAGAGGCAGAACCACCCATAGTAGTAGAATAGTTTAAATTTTCATGTGTAATTGAAATATAGAATTTAAAAAGTGGGCTTACTCACATTTAATCATTTTTAAACATGGCATTTTCCTGTAGTAAAATACGCCTGTACCTGTTGCATGTAAGCATCCTGAAGTAATTGTTGCTGGTGCTGCTGATGTAAGTGGTGCAGTTGCTGCAATCTCCAGTCCCCCTGCTGCAGTTGCTGCAGTACCCTATTTTGTTGTGGAGGGTGCTGATTGGTCCCTTGAGACAAGATCTCTTGTCCATTTCCTGGTCTTATGGTTCCTATAACATTTTTAAAGAATTTTATTAACTCATGTATTTCTGAAGTCTATTGGTAGGATTGTCAGTAACAGTCACATTTTTATTTTAACACTCTTACTGCAAACTGTTTTCTAAGTCTGAGTACACAGTTACTGCGGTATTACTAAATCACTCAGGGGTGTGAAAAATCCAGATTATATGGACCCTAGCCCCCCACGCAGACAGCACTATGTCGGCCAGAGGGCTTCTCCTGCCGACACAGCTCTTGCCTCTCTAGTCAGCTCACAGTGTCTTCACCAGAAGTCTTCACTAATTCAAGTTTGTAGCATAGACCTGCCCTAAGAGTTTCCTGGACCAGTTTGGGAAATGGAAACCTTAGAGAAGTAGAATTGCAAGCTAAATTTTATTTCTCTGAAGATATCTTGCAGAATTCTCACTCTAAGATTTCATGCCTCCAACCTGAGTCATGTGGGAAACTCCCTCTGCTCTTATGATTTGACTCTATGGCCTTTGTCAGCTGGTTCGAGGGCTCTTTTTTACTGAGAATGCTCAGAGGTCCCAAAACATTCCAGTGAGTGGGAACTTGAAATTGAAATAGACAGTCCCCTGTATTCCATTTGTATCCTTCTGACTCCTTAATGTAATGAATGTACCTTGATGCATAACTCATCCATTTAGGAAAAATATGTATTTGCTTGTTGTGGATCACTCCACATACTGGCAAGTTAGGTACGTGAAGTCTTCATGCATCAAGGTAAATCTAACTCCTCACACATTATAGCTACTTACGATTTTAAAAAAATAGCTAGGGAAAATATTTTTGTATCTTCAGCAATTCAGAGAATATTGACACAAACATTTGCAATATACTGCACACACACACAGGGCCAGATTCTCCAGCCCAGAGTCTCCTCTCTGTACAGCCTTTATTAGGCAAGTAGTTAAGTAATGTACTATACACTGTTGTCTAAGTAAGATGAAGTTAGGTAGCTCATGCACTGTGTAACATTCTAGGCCAGTGGTATAAAACTTGTGCCCTGGGGCCACATGTGATCAAAGCTTTAAGCAGTGGTCCTTGAGAGCAACTGGGTTAAGAAATAATTACCAATTTAAAATATATTTTCATAAGTATCCTGCCAGTTTTCAAATTAAGCACCTGAATCAGTCTGTGGGGGTGCACAGCCACCGCCTGTTGCAGCTGCTCACCAGTTCCCCTATTGGCCATTTACTGCTTTGCAGGGGGAAAAGGAAATCTGACCTATCTACAGGACAGGAGCTCTATGGAGAGTCGGATAGGAGTTTGACTGCCTTTGCCTGTGCCTAGGAGAGTGCAGCCAAGAATGGTTTCCCTCCCTCACACAGTTATGCGGGAGAGTCCAGGATACAGGAAAAAGAGGTGGTTGGTTCTCAACTTCTCATTGTTAAATATCCCTGATTCTTTGCACCAGTTAGAGCAATCTGAGGGTTGCTTTCAGTTGTGCCACATAATTGCACTCCAGCCACTCACTGCAACATGCCCTCTGCATCACAGTCTGTAGAGAGGATGGTGAAGGAGAAATATATGCTGGCTACACCTACTGGAGATTTCGACACTGGGGTACTTTCAGGTAATTTCTGTTCCCTTTACTGCAGGGATCAGAACAAAAAAATGACCATGGTGTTACAAGGAAAGGTTTGAATGCAAGCTCCACAAGGTAGTCCTAGGCAGTAGGAGGTGTGTGTGTGGGGTGGGGGGGGGGGTAGTGGTGGGTGTGTGAGAGAGAGCGAGAGAGATCCCTTCGGGGGTGACAAGACTAAGCAATACTCTGCAGGCAGATGGCAAGCTTGGATTGCTTGGATTGCTGCTTGGCCTTTTATTAATCTCTGAGACCTACCTGACTGTTTTAAGTACAGTAAGTAATTGAGGACCTTCACTACAGATGCCTGGACAAGGTCTAGACCATGCTGGGCTGCTTGCAACAAGAACGTCTCCCATTTAAATGAATATGTTTTTCTGGTAGATGCTTTCCTGCTCTGTATCAGGATTTTCTGGACCTGAAGGGAGCAGTTTCTGTCCATGGTACTCAACCAGCTAACAGCTATGCTGTCTTTGGGAGGCTAAAGTGACTTTTGCATTGGGCGGAGTATCTGGTTGTGAGGCTGTAGATTAGCTTCAAGCAGTCTGGGAGCTGGATCAAAGTCTGGATGGACATTTGTAATCAATCTTTAAGCCAGAACTGCCTCAGTCAGTACAGAGCTACAAATAATTCTTCATTTGTCCCTTTCAATCTTGGAAATCATTCTGGGGGATCCAGGGAATTGGAAAGACACATAAGAGGCCTTGGTTCCACTGCAGAAGGAAGGTGCCCAATAAGCCTAGATTCATGCTCCCTCTGGAACAAAAGTTCTGGCACTTGGTGTTCACATCAGTGGCGAACAAGTCTATCACTAGGGTCCCCAAGTCTCATCTCTATGATGGATCTATGCAAAAATCCACTGATGAGTGGCAACCAACTGTCTGCTCAGGACATCTACCAGGTTGTTTCTGCCATCTCAGTTATCTGGTGTGGATGGCACACAACATACTGAGCTTGATAGCTTCCAATCCAGACAGAGGAGAGATGAACGTGTGCTTTTTTGATTGTTTACGTTGGAGAGGTGCCATTTGTCAGGATGTGCACCGTGGAGTTTTGAAGAAAAGGTAGGAAGGCCATTAGGGCTACCCAGATGGCTCAGAACTCCAGAGCACTGATCATAACAGCTACCTCTGGGTTCAAAGTGACTTTCACAGACTTTGGATTTCCAACATTAAAAACAATGGAAAAATAGAACAAACCTTCTCCGATCCCACCCCCTTTTTTTTGGAGGGGGGGGGGATTAATATTCAAGTCCTTCAACTTGAGTGAATTACCTTTTTGCACACAGTTTCCGAATTCACCAGGAACCGATACTTTTACTGGTGTTGCTGAACTCTGGATAGTTAGCACATTAGAAGTGGCAGTGCTTGAATTGGCCTTTGGTCTTTGTCGTGGTGCAATTGAGGTTTCTGTTGGTCCAACAGCATCCGTTATTCTATAATGAAGTATTTTCCAGAGAAGACATTTCAATGTATATGACTATTCTTCAACTTTATTCAAGATACCCTTAAGCCCACCTTCTAATTGTTTAGTAATATCTTAGCCCCATTTTGCATACCTTTACATTTTATTATTTCTAGGTTTTGATTTCTAAAAATATTGAAGACATTGAAAATCCCCTGATCTTACTTATGGAGAACAAGCATAAAGACCTGCCTACTCATTCATATAAACTCTCAAATGTCCATAGGTACCACAAGAGGGGGCCCATGCAACAACATTTCCAAGGAGACCAAGAACATCATTAATATTCATTCTTCCTAAGTGCAAGTGTTCTGTTTTTCCTTGAGACATATATTGATCATAGCTTAATGATAGAATGCAACTGTTTAAGAGTTTGAGCAAATTACTGTGATTGCACCATGATGATCATTCACAGAATATTCCAGAAACTCAACACCGTGATATAGAAAAAGTAGGAGATGATAGAAGATTTTTTTTAAAAGCAAGAATCCGCTCTTCTCTTTTCATGGTGGTCAAAAATCTACAGACTCTAGAGCTTCAGTCATTTCTAGTTCTATTTCGCAATTAGGGAATTTTATAGCACTTATAGCAATGCAATATTCTGCCAGAGCATGAGTAAAATTTTCCAAAAGTGCCAAATTTACTTAGGAGTGAACCTTAACCTCATTTCAAAAGCTACTTAGGCACACAGGAGGGTAAGTCAAGTCAACTAGGAGCTTTTGAAAAGTTATCCTATCAATGTGCCCCATCTTTTCATAATAAAATATTCTCAAAATCTGGTCCCTGATGAGGGCATAGAAGCAGGGAGACAGGTGAAAAATGCATACATGCTTTTAGAAAATATATTTCAATAACTTATGTGCATGTGACCTACACAGGAAGAACAACAGAGTTTGTGACCTTTTTGCTTCTTGATGATGTACACGTTTTGTGAATGAATTTTGCCTCTTCAAAAGAGGCTTTTGCTCTTTTTTTTTTTTAAACATTCAGGGCTTCCTTAACTTGTTTCTCAGTTGAAGACAATGTATGTCTCGTACGTCATCACAAATACCAATGAAGTGAAATATGAGCAGTTGAGAACAGAAGGGATTTTTAATCAAACTGAAACTCTGAATTTGGTTTCTTGTTTGTTAAAATTTGTTGGGAGACATTCTCTGTTGAAGAGTCAAATCTCCATCCCTTCAACTAAGGGGGTGAGAAAGTTCCCTTCCAGTGCACTGAATCACTAAGAACACCTCCAGCAAAAAAAATAGAGAAGGCAAGACTTGGAATTCCTGATATTTTAAAATACAAAAACAAAATCTTTAAATCTTTGTGTATTGTTATAAAGCAGCAAGAGACTAAAACCCATGTTTTCCTTTGCAGTCCCCTTAAGACTCAGTCAGGGACGTTGGCATAAAAATTAGTTTGGCTAAAAGTTTTATCAAGTTGTTTACACTTTGTATGTTTTCCATTTTTAATCAATAACTATCTTTATTTAATACTTGATTCATGTTAATATTGGATCAAGAAAAAGTGAATGAAGACAAGGGCATTTGCATTCAAAAACAGAGATCCTACCTGATGAGGAAAATGTCAACAGATTGTCTTAATGGGTTCACTGTACAATTAGAAGCAGGACAATTGGTTGTTTGTGAGGTAAACCCAGATAGATTTCAAATACTGAGCTGCCCATAAACGTTTATTTGGCGCTTATTAAAATTACCATCTCAGATTGCTAAAAACATTGACCTTTTACAAAATTCATATGGACACAAGCCCTGAGTACCAAGGTGAGTTTTAGCATATTAACCAAACATACAAGAAAACTGCAGGTACATAAAATTGCTGTAAGATATCTAATCAGAATCCATAAAGTTCTACATTAATTTTGCTCACCTGGCTTTTATTTGGCTTTTTCTAGCAGCCGCCTCACTAGCTGTCATGGGTTCAGGAAGAGCTGAAGGGACAGGAGAATTCTTTGGAAAAAAAACATGTGAATTAAAATATAAAATTCTGAAAGTTATTACAAATTGAAGAGGAATACTGTGGCTTCCTTAGGGGTGGGGAAGAGAAGATCTTAATTTATAAATAAAGCATCAGAGAATACTTTGGCTCAATATTGTGGTTAAACACACACTGTCAGATTAAAATGTATTAAAACGTTTCCTTACCTATGTTACAAAAGAGATTGTGAGACTGCACCACATATTCTTCACAGTGATGTTATGATAGCTTTATGGCACAATTATGATACATTTTGTACATTAGTCATGTGAAGTGTCATTGGAAATGTTATGATTTGCTGATTATTATCCTATTTGTATGCATGCATCATCTTTTTATCTGAAGTTATGAATATTGACTATCTGTATTTCAAATGTACTTACACCAGGTAACACCCACTAGACAAGATGCTTTCAGTCTTCTAGATAGTGGGTGAAGAAGGGCCTATTCAGGGCAAAGGGCCATTAGGAAAAAACAATAGGCTTTAGGAGAAGCTTATCTCCCTGGTGAGTCTCCTGTGAATGCTCCAAACAGCCTGTAAGTAATGGCTGCTATGACTCTACAAGGACATGTGATCAGACCACATGATGCTGGACTCCATCTTGGGATGTCAGTATTTTCCCACAGACTGGTCTGGGAACCAAGCTTTGAAACAAAGGGTTCCTGCCATATGCAAAAGCTATATAAGGCAGGGAGTGACATCCGTTCTTCACTCCCCACACAGGACGACTCCTGGAAACACCTGAGGAACAAAGACTGAACTGGGGGAAGTGCTGGACCCAGGCTAACAGGGATTTCTAGCCTGTGAATGAAACACCTGGGGATTCCAAGCTGTAAAGCAAGTGCAGCTTGCCCCCTAAAGAATCTGCAGCCTGCTTGTATCATCTCTTACGGTAAGAATCTCCGAATTCATATCCAATCTATCTAGTATATTAAGCTTAGTTTGTTTTTTTGTTTATTTGCTAGGTAATCTGCTTTGATCTATTTGGTATCCCTTATAATCACTTAAAATCTATCTTTTGTAATTAATAAATTGTTTTTGCTTTATCTTAACCAGTGAGTTGGAGTGAAGTGTATGGGAATCATAGCTCAAAGGGCAAAGGCTGTTGCATATTCCTCTCCACACTGAGGGAGGGGGGAAACTTTACAGCGTAAGCTCACAGAGTTCCCTGTGCAGCTCAAGACAGTATAATTTTGGGTATATATGCCAGAGAGGGTGCGTGCCTGGGGAGCTGAAGTTGCCTTGGCTGTAGCCTTCCTATGCAGGGGCTAGTCAGAGAGCCTGCACGTAACTGCAGCTGGGTGTGTCCCTGCCTGTATGAATGCTGGTGAAAGTGCAGACAGGAGGGCTTTGCAGCTTGTCACAGCAATACAGTGTGAGAGGGAGCCCAGGCTGGTGGGTCAGGGGGCTCAGTGGTACCCCAGTTCCTGGTGGAACCCCAGGGAGAATCCGTCACAGAGATTATTAATTGCAATTTTAAAAAAAATAGACCATTATATAGACTGCTTTTTGCTTTCTCATCTTGAATAGAAGTCAGCTAAGTCAGTTTAACTTTCAGGCTCTCATGTACAAGCACAACGCTGTTATGTTTGAGTTGCACAGAGTGCAGAGAATATTTGTTTTAAAATGTTTCCTTCGGAGTTTTCAAACAAATTCATGGCAACATTTATTTTCGCCATACGCTTTATAAAAGATTAAAAAAAAAACCACAACCTACATTTGGATAAAATTTGACGCTATTCTTTTAGAAAGGAAGAAAGGTGTCCCCCCCGCACCCCCAAATGATGGCTCAGGCCCCCTCATGAGCAGAAAAGAGGGCACTTCTTGTTCCCAAAGGTGGTGAAGAGATCCACCTTCAGCAGACCCCATTTTAGGAATATGTTTTGGAGGACTTGAAAGTCTAGTTCCTATTCATAGCTGTGTGCCAAATGTCCACTGAAAACATTGGCTGTGGAGTTCTGAATGCTCAGGAGGTAGACTACCAACATTTAGATCTGATGAGCTATGCACCATTTCCATAGTATGTTGATATAGAACATGCAGGACACACTGTTCATCATGACCCTATTGATTTGCCTCTGAGAGGCAGGAAATGGAGGCAGACATTCCTGAACTCCAACAGATTGATATGGAGATTGGTTTCCTGAGTTGTCCGTCTGCTCCGAGTCATGAGAGCATTGAGATGAGCTCCCTAACCCAACAGTGATGCCTCTGTTAAAGTTAGTGACGGAGTTGGGCAACAGAAGGGAATGCCCATCCAGATGTTGAGTTGATCTTTCCACCAATCCAGGAAGCTCCTCGATTGTAGAGGAACCATCACCTGTTTGGCCAAGGTGTGTCTGCCTAGAAACAGGTCATTCTGAGCCAGCCTTGAAAGCAGTGAAGACGTAGCCATGCGTGTTCGGTCACAAAACTGCAAGCTGCCATGTGTCCTTCTAGTAGTCCAAGAACTTCCCTGAATTGTCTGTACCAAACATGATACAGTTATGAACCTGTCTAAGGGAAGGCCTGGTTGTCAATGAAGCCCCTATAAACTGTATCTTCTTTATGAAGGTTAATATGAATTTCCTTACTTTCAGCTCAAGACCCAACGTTTGGAACAGAGCAAGGGCTGTCTGGGTGGAAGATAGCATAGCTTCATAAGAATGGTCCTCGAGTAGCCAGTCATCCAGGTACTATTACTAACAGCTAACCATACTAACCATTCTTATCAAGCAACTATAAGAAGAATACACAATAGCCAAGGCACACTCCAGGCAGGCACACTAGAGCTCCCTCTCTAGCCAAGGCGGTAGAAAAGGAATTAAGGGTGGTTCATGCAAGCATCCCTATATAGCCTCGAAATCTGGCATGAGGTGGTATAGGGCACATACGCAGGTCAAACAGGCACAGGTAGTGGAAAAACCTCTGATCAAAGGGCTCAAGAGCCATATGCACAACTGAAGCAGAGCACCAATATGGACACTACTTCAAGAAGAATGCCTGGTTTTGAAATAATTATTCCATCCTTATAACATTACTAGTTATGGCCTCTCAACCTTAACTCAATCTTAAATGTAGTTTGTGTCTGGGAATTAAGAGATTTATATCTTTCCCCCAAATGCTAGAGAAATATAGAAATACGGTGAAGGAGGCTGAGGAGAACATCTCAGGCTATTCCATTTCCCCTGTAGGTAGGTAAGATCCTGCCAAGGATGGAAATAGCTAAGGATGCTTAATAATACAAAGTTAAATCAAAGCTCTGTTCGAAATTATCAGTTCCTTTTGTCCTCATTACCTCATGTAGTAACTCTGAAATTTGAACTTACTGTGAGAAAAATCAACAGAGCAGGAACAATTTAAAATGTATTTTATATAGACAGACAGACTTTAAGGTCAGAAGGGACCATTATGGTCATCTAGTCTAACCTCCTGAGGCCTAGCCAAATAAAAAGTGTAGAAAGTACAGTTCATTGAAAGTACCATTACACTTTGATATAGTTTATCAGGATGTGTCAGAAGCTATTTTCCATGCCATCTTTCTTTATTAGTGCTATACAGAAGATTCTAAGGCAGTTTTCCTTTTCGTTTTAGTTTAACAAGCTAAGAATTCTGTCAACACAATCTATTTGAAATTTATCAGATCCAGAACTTCCAGCACAGAGACAGACTTTTATAAAGAAAAAAGTTAACATTAGACATGTTCTCACTTGATTTGATCTAAAAGTAGTAACTCCTTTTGACAATATTGAAGGACACTTACTAAATCTATCAAAAGATGGGAAAAAATAGAAGACTACTTACATTAATATTGGACAATGGACATTCCTTTTTGGCAAGTTTAAAGGCAAAATAAGATACTTGAAAGATATCGGGTCTCCGTTCTTGATCTGGTTCAAGCATGTACCCTGTAAAAGTGGATTGATTAAAATTTCTCTAATAGCAATTCAAGAAAATTTACCTACAACATACTACAAATGAGAGTAAATGAGAATTAAACTACTTTGCCAATTGATTTAGAATTTACTCATTTCAAAAAGTGGTTTTTACCTCTTTCAGACAAGTAATGAGTTAGAATGGTGTCTATTGCCAAGAGTATGCGGTTTATACTATATATTTTACTCTTTTCCTTGAATGGGAAGAGTAGAAAATTTGCATTACTAGTCCTGAAGCTCAACTGAATCAGTTAAACAGCAGACTTGTAAGGACTGCTAGGGATGCTATAAAACAAACTGCAAAAGCGCTACACTAATAAATTTAAAAAAAAGTAATTAGTATTTTAGGAAAACTGAGTCTCTCCACCAGCTAAATCAGAGTTAGGTCTTCAAAACCTTCTTCTCCATTATTAGAATGAAAACAACTCAGGAGTACCAGCCTTCTTGAAAAGCATTTTCTGAAACACAGTAATGTAAAACTGTGAGCCAACTAACGGCGTCACAGCTGGGCTGATGTGTAAATGTTGCTGCATTTGGAACCGGCAACTTTTTGTTTTTTTTTTTAATTAAAGGACCCAGGCAAAAAAACCACACACACACACACACACCTCAAAACATAACCAAGTTCCATCTCTGAACACAAGTTATGTTTTCTGAACTGACACATAACCAGCCATTTCATGAGTATATTATTCTATATCAATGTTAAAATGATTAGATGCAGACTAATTTAAAAAAAAGTGGATTTTATACCAGCACCAATCCATGCGTCAGTTACAGAAACAGCATTATTAAAAACAATGTTAATCAATAATTCATTCTGAAGTACACTCAATTTAATCCAGTGATTCTCAAACTGTGGATCAGGACCCCAAAGTAGGTCATGACCCCATTTTAATGGTGTTGCCAGGGCTGGCTTTAGACTTACTGGGGCTTGGGGCCCAAGCCTGAGCCCCACTGCCTGGGACCCAAGCCCACACCTGAGAACTTCAGCCCTGGACAGCAGAGGTCAGGCTTCAGTCCCCCCTCAGGGGGTCATGTAGTAAATTTTGTTGTCAGAAGGGGGTCATGGTGCAATGAAGTTTGAGAACCACTGATTCAATCAGTAAACTACCACAAATAGGTTCACTATAGAGAGTAATGGCATGTAACTAACTAGTTTTGAATGCAATGCATGTAGTATAATAAATATTAATCTGGAAACACCTAATGCACTGGAGAATTAAGCATCCATCCATCCTACATTTTTAAGCAAGGAAAAGTTCACATATGAAGGAAAAATATTTCAGTAAAAGTTCAATTTCAATCTTCCAAAGTATTCTACACAAAGCAAGAAGGAAAGTATTTTGAGTATGAAATACTTAAGTGTTTTGAGATTTTAAAATAAATCACTTATTTGATTAAAAGAAAAAATATGAGCAAGCAAACCTATCTATAACTGCACAAAAGCTTACCTTTTACACATTACAAAGAAATGCAGCTTGGAAACCAAAGAGTTATATTTAAAAGTATCAGAAAGTTATATTTAAAAGTATGGCTCTTATGCTAAACAGTAATTGGTTTCTTAAACTTCATTTTGTAAGTCTAGCCATGCCTGAAATCCCACACATTTCATCCTTTACTTTTAACTTGCTTCAATTTGTCACTGAAAATGATAATCACAAAGAATAACCGGACAAATTTATAAGCCTGATTTTGTATACATGATATTTATAAGACACTAAGCTAGTCATGTCCCATCTGTGACCTAGGCTCCAGCTGTTGGCCTTGAGGGGGACCACATTAAGAAAAAATGGTATTTGACTACAAGTGAAAAACGTGTTCTCTAAACAAGTTCAATTTTACAAACTGAAGTGTTCAGAACAGACCCATCACTTCAGGGAGGAGGCGGGGGCACAGTCTCATGCTACTTCCCTTACAACAGCTCTGAGGTGGGAGTGCTCTGAGCTGTGCTGTCCCTTCCCTGCTGCAGTTCTAACTCCATCACATCACCGAGGAGAGAAAAACTCTGGCTGCTCCACTATCTGCTTCCCTATGGAAGCCCCAGAAAGGGCTGTATAAGAGCTTCACTAGCTCTGCCTGAGCTGAAGGAGACACTAAGCAAAATACCACTCTCCTCTCCCATGCAAGGCAGACCAGGAGAAGTTGAGAAACAACACCCTGTTACAGCTCCCCAATTTTTTGCCCTGGGAAATGCCTCAACTTATGTCAGCTGGCTGTGGTCTCCAAGGGACAATACGCCAACTGGGCACAGCCCAAGTGTTCATTCCAACTCAAGTGTCCACCCCAACCGCTCACATGCCCCCTTTCCAGGAGCTATGCCTCCCTCTCCACAGGAGCTAGCACAGGTGTAGAGCTAGCAGACTTCCTTACATCATGGTAAATCCTGAACCATGCAAAGAGAGAACAGCACAGAGATTCAGCCCCAAAATATTGATTGTAGACACCTGAGCATTCTGAAATACATTTGACCCTTGGGATTAAGAGATTGGACACTACTGTAGTAAAACATTAGCAAATTTCACCCTAAAAATGAGGTCTAGCTTCATTTCACATATTTGCAATAATCAAAGAGCTTAGTCAAAAAGGCTGGGGAAATACCATTTAAACAAGATGGCAAGAACAGTCGTCAGATTGGATGGAAAAGTTGCAGTGTTACCACCAGCATGATCCTAGCCTGGCGCAAAAGTGCTGGAAATGATGGCATCAGAAGCACCTCAGAAAGAACAGTTTCAGGCATTGCAAGTAGTAGGGGGATGGGAGGGGCATGCAATTAGGACCTCAATTCCATTAAGTCCCCCAGCTAATAGAAGTAATATACTGCAGCTAGGAGAAACTGTGTGCAGCCATCCTCTGAAAGAGATACGTCACAACAAAGCTTTTGACAAACAGGAGGTTAAGAAGATAGAAGCCTATGGCTCAGAAGGATTTGGAGGCATATTTGGACTCATCCTGGATTTTAGTGTCCTGCTAAATAAATGACAAAATTACCTGCAGTCTTGTGGGAACCAAGACTACAGGATAAATTAGTCTACTAAAGTACACATTGGTCAGAAATTTGTCAGTGAAGTCAACATACTGAGCTCAGCATTTAACAAGTTGCCAAATACAGAAACAATTCTAAAAATAGAAAAATCTTTCTTAGATTCTGAACACGAAGTTTATAGCAAGGGCATTTCAGGAAACTTTAAAAGTATAATTTGCATCAGCCCAGGCTTTATCAAACAGTTTTGGGTAATAGCTTTACTGACAACCTGGGGAACCAACTGAGACACGGCAACATTGAGTCTAGGAATCAAGGAACGTCATAAGAAAAATGAATTAAATAGATCGGATTTGAAAGTGATTGCAACAAATTAAATGCAACTTTCAAATGAGAAATTTTTCCTCATCTCTGGTGGGCACAGCAAGGTTTCTGAGTTAATTCTGATTATAGTTCTGTTCATATTTTTGTTACCTTTCTCCAAATAGAAAGCAAATCAACAAATTTAAGACTGGTCTAGATGGACAATGTTTTCTAGAATACACCTTGCTTTATCTACAAACAAGGCAGCACTGTTTTTATTCTTTAAAAAAAAGTGTGTGTATAGGTACATTTCAAGTACTTTAATAATAATTACTCTAAATTTATGATGTCTATGATTTAAACAAGATTTTCCCCCAGAATTTTAAAATTGTTTTTCTGTCCACGGTAGCTTCTTCACTAAATTGATTAGAGCAATATAGGGCTATATTTAGGAGCACTGCAAGGAAGTGCAGGGGAAATTCTGTGCTATATCTCAGCATGGTTTTATGGGTATCTGCAGAATTTTGGTATTACCAGTGTGTTCCAGAAACACTCTTTTAAAAAAAGAAATGCATTTCTTGCTCCTTGCTGCAAAAGTATCCTTGCAAATATTGCATGAGTATCCTTTATAATAGTCCCCAGGGAAACCATGCAGAACTTCAACTACAACTAGAAACTACTAACAACTACTCTATAAAAAACTATCTACAAGTATAAACGAGCTAAGAGATAGGGAACTGGAGATCAGCTAAGCCGCACTCCACAGTTCCAACGACCATCATGGGCAGCGAGAAGGAACTGAGGGGGCGCTGGATCAGCAGGGGCATATATCCGGCACCAGGGGGCGCCTCAGCCGACCCACCAAGTGTTGCTAGGGTAAAAATCTTCCACCAATCGTACAGGCGGTGCACGCACACCTAATTGGAATCGATATGAGCAAGCACTCGAAGAAGAATGTAAGTTTTTTCCAGCCTATCTGCGGTTCTGTCCTTTTAAGTTAGCTCAGGAGTAAACTCACAATTCCTCACAAAGGGGTGGTAGCTCAAAACTGATTATTTAAAAAAAGACTGGCACAGTTAACTAGTTTTATTGAAGACACTACGTATTACTTAGGTTCTTACACCATGACCAATGCTGAAAGTTTTATAGATATAGCTAGTTGTCCTATCAAAAAAAAATTATTTTTTTGGTCCTCAATGTAAGTTTTCAGCAAGGAGAAGAGAAGAGACACTGTAAACAAGTGAGGAGATCTGCAGGGAAGGTCTTGAGTAAGGTGAAAGATCTCAGACAGGGATGCCTTTTTATAGAAAAATTTTAATAATTTTATATTACTTAATGGATTTATGGATCGCTGATTGGTATAGGCTTCTTACACCGCTCACACAGCTTGAAACCCGGGGACCAGGGTATGCCCTGTCCCTAGACCAAGTCCCTCCGGGGACTATCTATACCACACTTAACCACTAAGAAATACTAGAAACTACTAAAACTACTACTATTTACAGGTATATACAAGAAAACTAGAACCACCACTGGTCAAGTCCGCTTGCTAATGCAAGAGGAGCATTCCAGCACCGTCACTGGTGGTAAGAAGGAACTGAAGGGGGAGGGGTCGCCCCTTATACTGGCACATATGCACATGACTCCCGAGGGCACCAGAGCCAGCCCCTATGGGTACCACTGGGGGAAAAACTTCCAGCATTAGTGCAGGTGGCGAGCACACACCCCTACATGGAATGGATATGAGCAAGCACTCGAAGAAGAACTAAAAAGGAAACTTTTTTTCCCCCTTCATCAGAGCAGACAATTTTCCTTTTCAAAACGTTTCCTCAATGCAATGATCCCCCTTTCCTCCCCAGCAAAACCACAGATTTACTTCGATTTCTCAGACAGTGGAGATAAGGACTCTTCTGAAATTAGAACAAAAGGTCTAAAAGTGGTGTCAGGGCAAGGTTAGATTATGTTCAACCAAACCTTCAAATTCACTGATTTAAAGGACATTAACTATAAGTGCATATTGCAGGTAGGGAAGGTCACTAGTAGTAAGGTCTAATAAACTCACACAAAACAATTTTAAGTACCGCCCAGCTACTTACTTATCAAACAATGTACATTATGGGTATATCGGGAATTGTCTGGAATGGTAAAGTTTCCGTCACAAATAGCAACCTGACTCTCCCCAAAGGGAAGTGTGAAGAAACAAAGTTTATACAGCAAGCAGCCAAGTGCCTAATAAAAAAAAGAAAAAGAAAAAGAAAAAAAGTATTGTCATTGCGAAGTCTAGATGGCAATAAACTAGTGTAAAAAGTAAAGCTAGATTTAATAAATAACTGAAATGCTAGTCACTATTGATGCCTGCATAGACATTGAACATGGTAGCATTTTGCGTTAACACTCCATTGACATAACTTGGGATGTAAGCAATGAAGTGATATAAAGCAGTTCTACAAGTGCTTTTTGTCCCACCAACTATATGCCAGAGAGCAACAAAGCTGTTAACTTAAAGAAATTCAGAGAGGAAACTTATGTCTGTTTTTTAATTTAAAAAAAAATCTATTTTTTAAATTCAGATGAACAGTTCCAATATGTGTTTATAAAGAGAAATTGCATGTGGAGAACCACCATCTAATCTGTCAAGTAAGAGTCTTTGAACTCATGTTATTTTCCCATAAACTTTTTGATGTAATCTATTCAAGATGCACCCGTTTGGCATGTAGAAGAAAAGTAATCATGGAGTTCTCCCATTTCAGTAATCTGAAAAAGTTCTTAAGTCCTCATTAGGTATTACATATGTTGAAAATGAAAGTGTTATATTTCATACAATAATCAGTTTTACCCTTGCTTCATTTCCTGTGTTTTTAGTAATTAAAAGTGTCGTTGTAGCAGTGTTGGTCCTAGGATAGTGGAGACACAAGGTGGGTGAGGTAATATCTTTTATTGGATCAACTTCTGTTGGTGAAAGAGACAAGCTTTCAAACTACACAGAGCTCTTCTTACAGTCTCGGAAAGATACTCAGAGCATCACAGTTAAATACTAGGTGGAAAAGATTGTTTAGCATAAAGTAGTTAACACATATTGTAAGAGACTATTCAAAATAAAGTGACCCGTGAACACCCCTGCAGTCATAGGACAAAAAAATAGGAGGGTAGAGGGTTACAGATTGTTGTAGTAAGCCATAAATCCAGTGTCTTTATTAAGACCGTGATTTCAGGTGTCTAGCAAGGTTATGAATTTAAGCTCCCAGGCTCATCTTATGCAGGTTCTCTTTGAGAATGAGGACTGAAAGGTAAGATACGGAATGCCTGTTTTGTGAAAAGTGTTGGCCCATTAATGTTATGTTTTTGTCTTACAACTTTTACTGTGAGAGTTTATTCAAGAGAGTAATGACTGTCTGGTTTCACCCACACAGTTGTTACTGGAGCATTTAGTGCACTGAATGAGGTACACCTCATTGCCATAGGCATGTGTAGGACACATTGATCTTAAAAGGTATGTTATGGTGGGTAATGATCATCCTAGTAGCAGAGTTAACTCTGCAGGTTTTGCATCTGTTATGGCAGGGCAGGGCCGGTGCCACTACAGTTGATGTGTCCTGGTCTGTGGGGAGCTTGCTTCTGTTGATGAGCTTGGTGAGTCGGCGGGGGGTTGTTTTAAGGCCAGAAAAGAGGGTTCACAAAAGATTTTTCAAGGTGGGGTCCCCATCAAGTATGGACTTAATTGTTTAATGATACCTATACGGGTATCATCATGTGTGGGTGAAACCAGACAATCACTACGCTCTCAAATGAACTCATACAGTCCTATGACTGAAGAGGTGTTAATGTGCCCAATTCTCCTTAAAATGGTCTCTTAGGCCTGGTCTACACTACACAGTTAGGTCAAGGTAAGCTGCCTTACCTAACTCTGTAAGGATCTACACTAAAATTTAGCTCCCACTGATATAAGTCACCCACTACATCAACTTAATAACTCCACTTCTGTGAAAGGCATAGTGCTTAGGTTAACATAGGGCAACACAGCGTCCATGCAGACACAACATTTACATAATTATGTAAATATTGGGCCATGCATCCCTGGGCGGGGTGGGACTGCAGCGGCGGGGACTGCAGCGGCGAGCCCTGCATGGCCGACAGCTCGGGCTATCAGCCCCAGAGCCCCCGCTGTCAGTACCCCCCAAAGCCCCATACAGTTAAGTCGGTGGAAGCACTCCTGGCGAGGGGACACACTGCTGACAAAGGACATAGTGTGGACATGAAAAGCCCCAGTAATTACTGTGGTTGCTATTCGTCAACCTAACTTAGGTTGACTTAATTTTGTAGCGTAGACTTGTCCTTAGAGTGTGCGTTAAACAAAATCTTTTCCACCTTGTATTTAGCTACAACTCTCAGGATACACACTGCGATAAAGAACCCATGGCATCAAATCTCAGAGCCGGGTCTCCCCCCTCACAGGATCTCAAGGCCCAGCCTGAGCTCAAATATCTACACTGCAAATTTTATAACCCCGCAGCCCAACTCAGCTGACCTGGGCTAGCTGTGGCCTCTGCATATCTTTCCCAGACCTGAAGAGCTCTCCATAGCTCATAAGCTTGTCTCTTTCACCAATAGAGGTTAGTACAATAAAAGAGATTACCTCATCCACCTTGTCAAGTATGAGAGGGGTAGCCGTGTTTGTCGCTTTTTACAGATCCAGACTAAGAGTCCTGTGGCACCTTACAGACTAACAGACATATTGGAGCTCATGGGTGAATACCCACTTCGTCAGATGCATGTCATGACATGCATCTGACGAAGTGGGTATACACCCACGAAAGCTTATGCTCCAATACACCTGCAAGTCTATAAGGTGCCACAGGACCCTTTGTCGCTTTTTCCTCACCCACCTTGTTTCTTTAGCAATTAAAAGATGTTTAACAAACAGTACCAGCCATTCATCACAAATATTTATTTTTGTATTACATACCTTATTTTCTCATTGTTACTTTTCTCCTTGCGCTCAAATTATGTCCAGCTGGTTATTACTGAACTTTGCATTCTGATTATATATAGTATAATAATCAATAAATATAGCACTCTTCATCTTTAATGTACTCTGTAAATATTCACTAAACATCAATCATTAGTGATAATGAAATCTTATTTTTCAAACTGAACCAAACATCACTGACATGGCTGAATGCATTGGAGCTGGTCACCTATTCAGTCTGCCTTATTTAAATCATACTATAAACAGGTTTCTATTGAAGCCATTGTTAACAACTGAAGTGAGAGCAAGGGAAAATACTAATGTAATCTACATTTTGCACTAGTAGG